GGTGAAGGATTTAGAAAAGACAGACAAGAGAGTGAAAATCAGGGTCTCGGTGGGACCCTGCTTCTTTGATGGAGCGACAGCGCCACGGCCTACACGCCGTGTCTTTATTTTATAGCAGATTCCACGGGGCAAAGTAAGGGCGTGGTCAAGATGTTTACAACATTCTCGCGGGTTTCGATCCTACTCAAGTACAGGCACCTGAACTCTATCAAGCCCACATCACTCAGACACGTGGGGCCACGTGTTCAGACCATAGGTTCAAGCTCACAACTACAGCTGTTGGCTATAATTGTTCTGGGAGGGCCCTGCCCTCCAAGCTGGGACTTGCACGTGGTCATGAGAGGACTGTGCCCTCTCATTAGTCCGAGGCTTGAACCTGTCCAAACACTGTAGCCGCTCTCCACACTCCCCCTGCCCCTGTACCATACCTGCTGGTACCCACACCCACCACTTCCTCCTTTTCCAGCACTATCAGCTCTCAGCTTCCAGCCTCGGGATCAGTTCAATAATCGTGCAGTCATTTCTCCACCCACTCATTGTGCAGACAGGGAAACCGAGGTGCAGAGCAGCAGTAGTGAGCCCTCTAAGGTCTCAAAGTCGACTACATATGGATGGCACAGGCTTCTGCGGCCGAGCCTGGGGATGACCGGGGGTAGGAGTGGGCGTCTGGGTGGAGTCAGTGTTCGTGCTGGGCTAGTGCCCAGGTCAGGAGGCCACCAATGACGAGTCCTTACCTTCCCTGAAGGTCCCATAGGCTTTAAAGAACTGCAGCACAGGGTCATTGCTGAATTTTTCCAGGCCCGTGGCCGCGGCCTGCTGCACGTGGTGGAAGTATTTTTCCTGGCTGTAGTAAATGATCCCAGCCTGTGGGAGAGGAGACACCCACTGCAATAGCCCTTCTCTGTCTCTGTTCTGACCTCTCCCTCCCCTGTTCCCTGCTCCTCCTCAGTTCCGTGAAGGAAAGAGAAAGAGAAAGAAGAGAAGTTTCTGGCCTCATCCTGTTCACCAGGCCCAGGAGCAACTCCATGCAGTTTCCCCAGGAAGGAGCCTGGAGGTGTTTGTTGTGGAATTATCCACAGATTCTGGTTCAAAGGTGGAAAATTCAACTCGAGTTGTCTTAGGAAGGGGCTCAGGGGGAAGAGAGGGGACCAATAATAAGAATAATTGCATCAGGAGTTAGTTACAACTTATTGTGGGCTGACCACCTCTGGAAAGTGTACCCAGGGCTTTATGTCCATTATCTTCTGCATTACTCTCTTCATAGCCTTCCCAGTTAAGAAAGCTGAAGGCCATGGCGACTGTGGCTTGGCAGAAGCCACACAGTAACAGGGGCTGAGATTGTAAAGCGAGTCTCACTTCCCCTAAGGTTTCTGGGTGCTGGGGTTGGAGACAGATGTGGTTGGATTGTAACAGCCTTGTGGGCCATATGAAAGGGCCCAGACATCATCCTGAGGAGAACAGGACGCAGTGGGAATGGGTTTAAGCAGGGGAGAGGGACGTATTCAGATGTGCGTTTTTGCAAAAACCACCCTGGTGGTTG